GCCAGGCACTGTGCTTGGCAACATACATTTTTGAGGAATAGGCTTATGGATTAGGTACTAAGTAAGAAATTATGCTCTGATATAAGGTAGTGCAATGTATATTTTTGTGGTCAACCTTAAATTATCCATATGGATCTTTTCTCTCAACATGTTTGCCTTAACACCTAGGGAATACGAATTATCTGACAAAGCTTAGTGTATTCTTCCTGGATTATTAAAAACTCTAAGATGATCATATTTTCTCAAAGATCTTGTCACTCAGCATCATCCACCAGTTGGAGAAGCTATTAAATTCTTTCATTTTCTGTCTTCTTCAAGATTATATAGCAAACCATATCAACCCTCTTCTGCAAGCATTTATCAACTCTCTGCTGTAGCATCTGGTAAGTTGTAGGGTGTACTAAGAAATTTATGTGTATGGCTTTATCCTGTCTTTTAGGGCTGAACTGAGAAATAGCCTTTGTTAGCTTTAGCAAAGTCTTGTCTGTCGGCTGACATAGTTTATGTGTGGGAAAAGAGATCGGAGTTTCTACCACAACAGATTCTTTCTGCAGAAGGTTAGGTCACAGTTTTACATAGCTTTTCTATTATACAGTAAATGTGGAAATTGTGTTGAAAGAAATGTAAGGTAAGGGAAGGAATGTAAAATAATACCACGTTTTGTTTTGTTTTGTTTTGTTAGCAATCATTAATAATTGTAGTTTCTAACAGACTTTTAAAAATACTTATTTGAAGAATGCTAATTTAATACCAAAGACTATGCTTTCTTTGAATGAAACATTCACTTTGAATCTAAAAGTTGTTCACTGTCTGAATTCCGGAGTCAGAGGTTTTTTGCATATTTGTTTTTATATACAAAAAATCCGTATAAACAAAAGCATGCATTGAATGAGATTACATTTCCATTTTCTTAATGTTAAATAGTAGATAAACTTTCATGTTTAAACGAAATTGATTCCTTTCTTTGGGCTCAGGAGGGCACACTAGGAACTGTCCTACAAGATTAAAATATTTTCTACAGTCATCTCTTAACTTTGTCCCTCCCACTACTGAAGCATACAGATTTTTCATAATATCCTTCATATTGGGAGAAACTTAAGGAGAAAACTTACAAATTTTCCTAAGGTCAATGGCATCACAGAGCAAAGACATTTCTGGCTTATAAATCTGTGCTGACAAATCACCTCTATTTAACGATTAATTAAAGGAGCAGTTGTCTAGAAGATGTATGTGGCAATTTTGACCTTGAAGTATATGCTTTGGTCCCAGAAGAAATATGTAACAAAACATGAAAATTATTCAATATTTAAATTGGATGGAGAAATCGCTGGCTTTCTGGTAAGGTAGGAACAAGTACATATATTTCTGGGAAAGGAAGTATAAAATATTGTGATATCTATTTCTATTGATACAAACGTGCTTTCTCAGCCTGCTATCCCTTCTCTACACTCTACAATGTACTATGAATTACAACCCATGCACTGAAAAGTAATATTGCACGTTTTCCCCTACTTTAGCCACAATGAGTACACAGAATAACAGAATCACTAAACCAGAAGAAAAGGTGGGACCCACACCTGCAGGAATATGCATAAATAAGTTCTTTTAGATAAATTGCCTTATATTCTCTTCTTGAAGATGTCCACAACTAGAAATGCACAATCCTCCCTGGCAGCATTTGATCCCTGAAGACTCCATCTCAAGTTACTTCCCCCTCCTCCCATAACTCCATCACATGTTATACTTTGTCTCTAAAACTGGTTGTGACATGAAATCATTTGTTGTTTACTCTTTTGTTGATGGTCTCCCTCAAATAGATGCGAGTTCTATTTTCTCTTGCTCATTTCTCTAAGAATAGTTGATCTTTAATGGTTATTTATTAAAAATATATTCCATTGATAGAAGGAAGTTAAGACGTTAGGATATTAGGAAAGAAGAAAGAAAGATCAAAATGTTCTACCTTATGGCTGGTTGAAATACCTTCTGCTTTCAATTAAGCTCATCTCCTGTTGTTCAGTCTTTGACAGATAAGAGTGGCAACGATACCACATTCTCCAACCAAAATCTCTCCACGTATTTGCACAAAACTATTTAGGACAGTTAGCAGGCAATCAATCTTACTTTACCTCTAATTTCTTTCAGAAGAAACAAAGGAAAAAATATACATAAATAAACAAGATAAAGCAAAGCTTTAATTGATGATGACAGAAAACGATGAATTATTAGTTTCAAAGAGTATAAAATCTTACTTCTTAAAAAAATCTTACTTCTTAAAAGAAACTATTTTAAATAGGCAGGAAGTTCAAATACAAATTTTAAAGAAAGAAAGGAAAAATCATTAGGTGAAGAAAATGATTCTAAGGGAAAAAATGACAGAATAAGTATTGGTGGTGGGGAGTAGCTAAGTAGAATATAAGTTCCAGGCAATACTCAAGTTACCTGGACTGTCATCGACATTCATCCTTATGTTCTCCAGTTCTTAGCTATCTAAATTCCACATTTTCGCTTTGCAGAGTGAACAGATTTGTAAGGCCTGGATTCTTTCAAAGGGATATTTGATAGGGTAATGGCGTTTATTACAAAAACACATTTACTTAGACGATTCCAGCCCAAGCAATAAGTGGAAATTTTCTCTCCCCAACATATGTGTTTATTGGTGAGTAAGAAGCAAGTCCAAGAATGATTATGGATGAAAGAACATGACAAAGTTCAATCATTTGAAGCAGAAATAAAATCATAAATCTGAGCAATGAAGTTTTCTCATCAACAACCAAGGGGTGCATTCTCCTCTTCGCTTTGCTCGATATTTTCATTATTATGACAGAAATAGGAACACATTGGAATGCTCTCCTAAGGCAAGATTTGAAAGATTTTACTGTTGGTCTTTCATGTGTTGCACTTATTTGGTAATAAAATTATCTGTAAAAATAGATGTGGAGAAATTGAAGCATATTTTAATATTAGAATGCGCAGGAAACTAGACAAAGTCCTTTGTTCTCTGTATAAACTTGCTGACAATTCCATTTGTGGGATCAAGGAGGCAATGAGAAGAAAAATTTTCTTTCAGGAAAAAGGTTTAAAACCTAACCTATGATTACCATTTTTTGAAAACATTCTAAATTTATAACAACTACATTAGAAGGAGAAGGACTTTCACCTATTTGATGAGGTTGAATGTCATAGCATTTTAAAGTTCAAGGAGAAGGATATGATAGAAGAAGAATCATAACAGATTGGCTTTGATAATACCAGTGCTGGTTTCATGCTGAAAAGATGCTGACGTAAGTGTGGTGGTCAATGGGATGTGATTTGGGAGTGTTAATAATGGAGGACATGGGGCTAGGGATAAAAGTGGAAAGATTTCTTCAAAATCACCTCTCCATATTCCTTCATGCTCTGTTAACTGATGAGAAAATGTCAACCTAATGATACATTTCATTGGCTTCAAAATTTGAAAGTGATTTCAAGATTTCAAGTGGTTACAAGATGCTCATTCATTGATTCATTCAGGTACCATATTTTTAATGGAGTTCCTATGTGCTGCATCTACTGCACCAGATGTTAAATACAAAATGGTGAGCATTAATTTGCTCTTATTTTCCTTATGTACAAGATAGAGATTAGAGTTCCTTTCCCTGCTTATCTCACAGAGCTGGTTTTGAGCTTAAGTAAGATAGTATAACCTATGCAATAACATATAATAATATATAATAATAATGATAGTAGTATCATGTTTTGGGAAGAAAAATAATCAGTTTCAAGAGTTTTTATCTTACTGCCATGAAAACATGTTCTGTTGTAGATTAATACAGAAGGAGAATCACAACAGCTAATGGTTGGAGTGACTGCTATTCCATGAAGAGAGTGAAAGAACACTAAAACTGTGAGAGCAGAAGCACTGGAAAGAAAGTTTCCTTTATAATTTTGTTTGGTGCCAACTCCTTCCTTGCCAGGGCTTAGAACATACTTGAGCTACATCACTTGCCATTGGGTTTTAGCTTAGTGTTTCTCAAACCCCAATTAGTCATGTATCAATGTCATAGATATTTCCTATTATCCATTTATAATTTTTATTAATATTTAATATTTTTCTTTAAATCAATAGTATGTTCTACATGAATGATTGTGACTACGTTAAAAATGCAAAGATTATATAATTCCTTTAAAGAAAAAAAACAGGACCACTTGCTATATATAAAACCCAATAAAATTAAAACAAAATCACTTTATTTAATTCTAGGTGGGTTCCATTGTCTAACCAAGGCCCTGAGCCTGAAGCCCAAGGTTCCTTCTTTGCTATGAAGGTTATTGAGTGATTATTGAGGAAGTGCTGAAAACAAATGTTATAGATATGCTAGCATCAAACTGAGAATTTCTCTTTGATGCAATCAGAAGGCTGGAAAGTTACTAAAAAGTTCAAAAAGGATTAACCTTCTTACTCAGTGATACAGTATTATTTAATGGTATTTCTTATACCAGCTCAAACCTCTTGCAGAAGTCAATATTCTATAATGCAAAGCCCTTGTGTAGCTGGTCTGAATTTTATGACTTTAGTTATAACGATATCTCTTTATGCTTCTTATTCCATTTCAATTGAATGGCCAATGAACTCTACTATAGAGTTTCAAAACACTTTGTAAGGAGGATTTTTTTTCTCTCCTTGTGTGGTGAATTCTCAAATTGTTATTCATTCCAGTATGGGTATCATTATGATTATTTAGAAGGCAGAATAACTGGCACTTTAAGAAGCTAAAGAATGTATTCAGAACCAAGCTTACTATGGTCCTTTTATAGACATTGGGGGAGGAGGCAAACTTATAAATATGCTAGCAACATCTTGCACAAGAACACATGGTAAATTAGTTGGCAGAACAAAATAATCTCTAAGGACTTGCTCTTAAGTTTCCTGACCAGAAGATCACAGTCCTTTCTCATATATAAGAAACTTCAAGCTTCAAACCAATGAAACATAACTTAGAGAACGGCCCCATAGGACTTACCTCCTGTTAGCATGAGGGCACATTTGCACATACAGTTGTCATTATCTGCATCTTTAGTGCTGAAATCAGCACCATGTAAGATCAGGCTGCTCTGTTTTCCTGCTGTCCCAGTGTGACCCTTTAAATACAACCTGAAGTTAAAGAAAAAGGGAAAAGATAAGCCATTCAACAGAGTAACAGAACCCAGAAGACCAGTTTGTTGAACGTTTGCCTTTTTCATCATTTTCTCCCTTCTTTGTACTCAGCCCTTCTAACTAACTACTATGAGATCGAAGGAAGGAAGGAAGGAAGGAAAGAGAAAGAAAGAAAGAAAGAAAGAAAGAAAGAAAGAAAGAAAGAAAGAAAGAAAGAAAGAAAACTCACAGATAGTAAAATTCTCTATGGCTTGTGTGCTTGGTGTTTATTTCACAATGCGTATTCAAATTCATATGGTTCTGTGATAGGGAAGGATTCACAAAAGGGAAATGGGTTTATTACCACAAGTACTAATCTCCAAAGAAAAAAATGTCTTGTAGAATGTCATTACAACATATAATTATGTTAATATAGAATAGTGATGATGTGATGAACATTATTCTTCATAGCAATGCTAGTAATAATTCTCATTGATTGAGGACTTGCTCTGCTGTGCCACTCTGCTAAATGCTTTCCAGTTATTATTTAATTTAATTTTATGTTAGATTTGTGATCTAGGCATCAACACACCAATTTTGCATGTCAAGATTTAGAGGAGATAAATAAGTTAAAATTTGGCAGTTTGACTTTAAAAATCCAAGTTTTTAATCATTATGCATTCTCTGAACAAATGTTTGTTGAACACATACTATATAACAGAAATTGTTCTAAGTATTTAAGATTTATCAGACAAAAGGCTATGCCCATAAGAGGCTTACCTTCTAGTAGTATCCCTAATATTAAGTTTAAAGGCCAACTGTTTAACCTCAAATATGCCGTTCTTCAAAGAACCTAACCTACCTTACTCTCTAAAAACATTTCTTATATAAAATTTACATTAAACTAGATTATAGGTTAACAGTTGCACTTACAGAAAATCATCTGGTTATTTATGGAAAAGGCCTTTTCATTAGGCCTAGGAATTTATATTCAGTTTCTATCTCATGTTACTTTCTGCTGATTGAAGAATTCTGGCCAGGAATTCAAAAACTAGTGGATAAATCACAACTGGTGCCTAATGTAGTTCTCTGATGTTTGGTCATTTCCTATTGATTCTATACGTTGTTTTCGTATCTGGGTACTTTGAACAAGTGCAAACTTGCTTGAGTCCCACAGTGGTTCCTCAGGGCTCAGAATAGCTAAACTAAGGTTGTCAGAGTGTCACTGATATTCAAGGTCTTCTCTGGTTGAAATTCTACCCTTCTTTCTAATTCTACCTAACATGGTTCCTCTTAGAAGTCTCATTCATCAAAATCCTCTAGCAATATTTCTTTCACATCCACATACCACTTCTGTACCAGAGTCTCATTTATGTATCTTATGCACCCACAATATAGTCTGTATGAGGGAGACACTACTAGGACCTGCACCAGTTCTGAACAAATTTTACATTATTATTAAACAGAAATAATACAGATCAATTAATATTTGGGTTTTTATTTTTTCACATATAGATTTGACTTGTGTTTGCACCTAAGTATATGCATAGATCCTCCCAGTGTTTTGTGAGGTCGATATTAGTTTTAGCAAATAACAATACTATTGTATGCTTGCACCAAAACATTTTACAGATACTCTGCAGAGATTTTTGAGTCAGAGTAAAATATACAATTAAGCCCTACTCAGGTTTTATTGTTTTCAATGATTAATAGAACCTGTAGTTAATAGTAGGTTGAAGGAAGCTTCTAAAGCTAAATTATCGTACACAAACTTGTATTTTAATACTCTGAGAGCAGGCTAAAAGTCACTGGTGATAGAGAATTGGAGAATTCTTTAAGTGTTGCAGGCAGCCCACATGTACATGTGTTTCATCAGAGGAAAGTAAAGGAGGAGGTTCCCAGTGGTAGCCTAGGACAAATTACTTGAGTGAATTCACAACCTTCTAGATTTGATCACTTTTCAGCCTTTCAGAGATAGACAAATACTCACAAAGCTAAGGGAGACTTTTGTCAGTTCTCCCTTCACAGTCAAAATAAGAACACTGTGGGTTCAGACTCATGGTCTTCTTAGAGAGAATTTCACACAGAAAGCCAAATTATAATTGGAAAGTTGCTTGTTTGGTGAACACAGAATCCATAGGGAGAAGAAGATGAATGATTCCAAAATTGAGTAGTTGTGACTCTGTAAGGATTAAATTTCTTGCTCCACTGGGACTGGGTGAGATTAGCCTACAGGTGTTCTCGGATGAGCCATGCTAATTCCAGCTCTGATTCTTGACTTCTCTATGATTGTGATGATTTTCTTTCTTTTTCTTCAAAAGGTAAGTCAATACCATTATCCCTATAGTCACTTTAAGCTCACTCATGGGGATAGAGATTCCAGAACACAATGATTTTTTGCACTGTTATTTGTAGGTAATTAAGAACAAATGTTCAGTTGATATTAAATGAGTAACTGCTATGTGCTGGATGTAGTTTATACTTTTATCCTTTCACAGGAGAATTAAAGTTTAAGCCTCATAGTTTACAATGATTTCTTTGTGTTACCATGGCAATTGGAATGCCCAATTATAAGTTTAGGAAGTAGAGAAAAGCAAAAAGAAGAAAATAAAAAGCAACCTAAATCTCACCTCTGAATATAACTATTCTTGACATCATGGTTTATACACATTTAGTCTTGTCTTTTTTTCTCCTCCAAATTGAAAATGTTGTCTATTTTAAATATATATGTACTATCTGATCAAATTCTTATAAAAATTTTGAACAATGCACATAAAGTTGCCCACAGGCCTGTCTTATCTGTTTAGAAGTATTCACTTATATTAGTTTTGCATCTTTCAAAACAGTTTGTCTTTACATATAAATACAATGAAAGTAAAATTATACTCTACATATTTCTTTATTTCATGCTTTCTATACATAATTTTATGATTTTTTTCATGCCATTTCTTATTCTTCTCCAACATAATTTGGAAGCTACTGTATGACAATACCATCAATTGTTACAAGTTTAAGAGTGCTTTCATATATCTTCAAATATATATGCAAGTATATAGAATGAGGTATAAAATAAACATCAACAATGTCTTTTCCTAATCTTTACCTCTATGACCTTCATTATTGCTATATGTTAGAGTCTGTAAAAGTAAAGACAAGACATTTTTCCAGATCCTTTTAATCAACATTAGAAGGGCAATCTTCTAGTTCTGGCAGCTTTTCTCTAGATTGCTACAGAATCCTTACAACTGGTCTCATCACCTTGAATCTTGCTCCTTCCCCTTTGTCCTAAAATCCACGCTCCATGTGGCTCATTCAAAAACCTGCATCTGGTTGGCTAAAAGAGATTTGGGGAGGAGTCATAGACCTGTCCCATTTCAAGCCCTTGCCTGGATCAGAACTCTCCCCGTCTATCTCGCAAAACGGAGGAGGTTTCAAATCTGAAAAAGTTACTCTGTCCCTTATTACAGGTGGGATAATATAGACTGAAGAACCTAATGTATGTAATGTGGGGACTTCACAGTTTTTGATTTTAAAAATGTCATTGTGGCCTGGGAGGTGGGGCAAGATGGCGGAAGAATAGGGTCCCCAAGTCACCTGTCCCCACCAAAAATGTGCATCCTATTATTCCTCTGTTCTGGTTAAAATCCCTCATTTGTTTTCCCAACAGCTGAAAGACTGTAAATTCCTTATTGTGGTTTACAAGGACTTTAAACATCTTACCCTCCTCTACTTCTTCCCACACTGCCCAAACCCCCACACCTCTCACTGCTTATTTCCTGTCCATGTACATAAAACTCCAGCCTAATCAATTACTTGTTCCCTCAAAGCAACACACTCTCATTTCTCTGTATATCTGCACGTGCTGTCCCCATTCCTGGAAGGCCCAATGTACAATATATACATATTAAACCATTGTGTTGCATGCTTGAAAATTAATATAATGTTATATGTTAATTATATCTCAGTGAAAAAGAAATGAAAGTAGAAAGGACCAATATTTAGAGAGTTTTCATTGTACAAAACTGAGTAGAACTTGGAATTTATATATAGTAGTATTCATCTCCCCTGAGTCTATATACTTAGTATGTCACAGGGGAGCTACTTATGCTCTTCTAAAGTAGAGGTACCAATGGACAGTCATTTTCTTGCCCTTGGAAATAGAGATGGTGTTTCACAAAAAAATAATTTTTCTCACCACAATTTTAAGAAAGTTACAAATGAGGACAACTATGCTTCTGTGGAATCCCATAAGGATTCTGGGAGCAACTGTGTAGTTAACGATAGGTCATCTGAATAGTTCAGGGGCTCATTCCTTCTTAGTATTTAGCTAGTACAGAGTAGGAGTCATTGACCCAAAGCCAACAATTTTAGCTGGTTATTTGATAAAGGCAAACAAAGAGCTGGACATTCACTAATGCCAAGTATTTTTTCTAATTAGATAAGAAAACTTATTTGAATTGAGGCTCAAGTGTAATCTTTAGGTGGTTCTTTTAAACAGTGGTTCTGCCTAATTTCTAATGTCTTTATGTATAATTAGCTATTTATGGCTTTCTATATTCTGCTAATGAAACTTTACTTTACAAAAGAAAAGTTGATACAAGAAGGGCCAAAGTCAGCCATGTATCTGAACATGGTGAAAGGAAACCTGAAGTGTGAGTCATTAGAGAGAATACTCCCCCAAAATAATACCATGGGAATCCTGGACATCTATTTCTTGTGTTCAGGCAGTGTAGATGTGGCTTGCAAGAAGGATGGATGATGTGTTACAAGATAAAAACAAAACATTATTCCAGAGTAAAGTATTTGGCTTAAGGATAAAAATATGAAGATAGATAGAAAGAAAGAAAGAAAGAAAGAAAGAAAGAAGAAAAAGTAAAAGAAACCCCCCCCACCAAAATAACACAAAAACTCCAAAGAATATGATTAGATGTGATAAAAAAAAAAAAAGGCAGCCACAAAGTAAAATCATGGTATTCATCCTTTTAAACCCATCTTTTCATTATTAATGAGGAAAAACC